CAGAGGTGACACGCGAACTCATTTTTTTTGTTTGATTTTTCTTTGTTAAATGCCATTTAAATATATAAAATAAATATCAAAAATATAAGTCTTTGTTTTACCATGGTTGCAAATATCAAAAAATTTCTATATGTGACAGGGCGCCAGAGTTAAGTTAGGGTTTTTCAAAATGCAGACACGCCGAGTTCAAAAGGTTCGCCATCACTGCCCTAGGGCCTCCCCAGAAGCCCTGCATGGGACCCTCCCGCCACTGCCTGCTGCCCAGACTGCAAGCTGTGTGGGGTCAGGCCGGTCCAGGGCTGCAGGAAGAAAGCATGATTCTGCTCTCGGGGTGGAGGTGGTGTAGCCACAGTCATTCCCACGTGCGCCCTGGGAAACCGGCCTGCGGATTTCTGCCCGGCCAGGTTGGGGCATGCAGGGTCCAGGCATCCTGGTCCTGCTGAGGGTGGGGAAAACCAGACTCCAGGAGCCAAGCCTGGGAGAAACGGGCTTCCATCTGGTGCCCCCCAACCCGGAACCACCGAATGTTGGCACCGAGGGACCTCAAGGGGAAAGAGCTTGCTTGCCCAAGATTGGCCACCAAACCTTTCCACTCAATAATGTTGCTTCTACAAAAATCAGGTGACTGTGTGAAAAGTTAACCCATATTTCTGTGCATCCCAGTATCATCTGGGACCTCTTGGATCTTGAGATCCGGGAAGAATTGCCTCACACCCCCAAGGTAGGGAGGCCCTGAGCCTACTAGAGATTTTGGGCTTTCTGCAGCCTTTCCTGTAGGCACGGTCCAGTTCCTGATTCACAGACATTGTCTCTGTTCCTCCCCACATCACCAGGGCAAGTCTCAAGCCATGGCCAGGTTCACCAGCATCCCCTCTTGCTCGTCAAGCATTTCCTGAATTTTAAATATGTTTTTGTTGATTTCAGAAAAGAAGGGAGAGGGAGAGAGAGGTAGACACATCAATGATGACAGAGAATCACTGATTGGCTGCCTCCTACACACCTCCTACTGAGGATTGAGCCCATAACCCAGGCATGTGCCATGACCGGGAATTGAACCCTGATCTCCCGGTTCATAGGTCAATGCTCAACCACTGAGCCACACCAAGTAGGCTCTTCCTGCTCTTTAAAAGAATGTAGTAAAGGGTGCTAATCTGGCCTGTACCTCCTTCCTTCCTGCTTACAGCAGGTGTCCAGAGTTGAGATCCTTGCAGGGGAAGCAGTTATAGCTATGAACAGTGCAGCTCACCCAGTTATGTGGGTGAGTCTAGAGGAGAGAGAAGGGAGCCAGACAGATCTGAGGAGTGGGAAAGAGG